TTTTTCCCCATTCAGTGATCTTCAGTTACAGAGTCATGAAAATATCCACCGTGATAATAAGCTTGAAGTAAATTGGTTGTTTTTGTATAGATTCTGATTCCCAGTTTATTTAATTACTTTTCTGAGCTGCGGCGAGGGGATGTGGAAGGAAGCGGTAGTGGATTATTTTTAACGTATTTTCCAGTTTTTCCTGGAGGGCATAAAATTAACATTTTCAGTCATGATAGCTAGTGTCCGGGTAGAGAATAGAACCACGGATTTCCGAATAGCTTACTTAGCAGGAGCTAGCCACTAATCCTGACACCCGGTTGACTCAGTATCTGCAGTTAAAACAAACGGTTTGTTTTGTTTAATGTCCCTAAACCGAGTAGAAACGTCGAAATGTGGATTCTGATTTACGTAGATAGCAAGTTGGACAAAGTGTTAATGAGAACATTTGAACCCAAGGTAAGGAGCCTAATAATGTTTACTATTTATCTGATACTGGGTTGATCAAATGAGAGAGGTTGGGATGGGCGGAATACTTCGGACGCATTGGAGAGATCAACAGTGCTTACAACATATTAATGTAGAACAGACTGATTGGAAGCTCTAGGGGTAGATGCCACGAACAAATAAAAATGAATTTGAGAGAAAATGTTTCTTTTTTCGGGTTATGGGCTGGATTCAGTGGTTCAAGGTACAGTTTGTCGTTTACGAAAATGTGACTATGAACTTTGGAATTCCGTAAAGGCAGGCACTTCTTCTGAACCCCGAACAACTGTAAACAGACGCGCCGAGGACTCACCAATAATTGCTTAGTTACAGTAGATCCACAAACAAAAAATAATTTGCCAGCCCAACAGTAGTCGCGTGAGTGGTTACTGGAAGATGGAATGTAGGCGAACGCTGGCTTCATCTTCTGGCTGCTGTGAAACTTATTTAACTATTTTTCTTAAGCATGAGGTTCTTACGGCGTCGAAGATGTTGATCGTCGTCTTCTGTCATATTTTTTTGTGACTCATTGGTACTCCATAAACTGGAACAGATCTGAATTAATCAGATAAACTCCATCGTCAGTTCGCTCCAGCCAGCAGGCGTTTTTGGTCAGCTAGTTGAGGCTTACTCTCGCCGAGCTTAACAACGCCTGAGAATAACAATTTATGTTTTCACAAATGAGATTTTACTCTCATTTACAAACTGAGAGATAAGCAGATAAAAATATCGAGCTTCGATACCGCAGGGCAGAATTTTTATATTTATTATAACCAACACCTGAGAGGTTCTGGGGTCTACCCAACCTCCTTTCCAGTGAAATGCAGGGGGATTATTTCCTAGGGGGGTAAAGTGGTCGAAAGGTGAAGCAGAAAATCACCTTCGACTGTCGGAAATGATTGGCTCTTCACATGATGCTAAGACGAAAGGGACTTTGACCTTTGCTAACAGCATTAACCTTATGATTGATTTGTAGGCCTATTATTGTTCTTGTAACATAAAAATGCCACTGAAATAGCATAACCAGAAATAAATCCATAAAACATCCTATTCTGATATTGACCCAGATCTGTTGGGGTGAAATTGAAATGGCTTGGGATATTTTCACGTTCGAAGAGGTTCCTGCGGCAGAAAACGTTTACGAATAACTGGCCCAGTAAATTTAAGCTAATCTCCGCAAAATATCACAGTTTTGTAGTTTGACCGGACAGAAGCTAATTAATACGTCGTTGTGTACTACATTTTGTTATCCCCAGCTGTTGAAACGTGAATGAACAGTATCAAGCTTAGGCTTTTAACATTAATTTCATACGTCTTTGGAAAGTAGCGAAACTTCCCCAAGAGGAAACTGTTCCGTTCTTCGCGTCGTGGTATGTGGTGGTCTGTCTGATAACGTAATGACGCGACCAGAAATTGCGAATGTCCGTCTACGACAATGGGCTTCCCCGCACATCACACTGAAGTATTATTCGTTCACTCAAATGCTTGAAGTGTAAACCAAACGTCTTGTTTGGAAGTAGACGGCAGTTCGTTTTGTCTTCGGGCGAAGATTAAAAAATGTTTTAAAATTTTCATTAGGGCTACGGTTATTAATAAAGTTTGCAAGTACAAAAATTATTTATGTAGCTTTGACGTTATTAATCCTTATAAGGCGGGTTTTACGTTTTTTTTAGCCGCCATTTCCAGGCTGTAGCTTTGTTTCGCAATTTTCATAAGAAACTGCATGTTCGCACGTTATAGTTTTAAAAAGGCAATATCTTATCTTTTGTAATTAGAATTCGTATATGTACACGCACTCACGCGCACTGATTTTATCATCAGCAGTGTTATTTTTTCTTTTATATGCATGCATTCTTATAGGTCAGGGACACATTTATGGCCATGTATAGTTCCTTACCCCTTTTGATGAGGCAACATTTTGTTATGTGCCGTGCATGAAAAGAATTGTGGAACACGGAGCTAGACCGCTGATGCGTACTCCAACTTTAGGAATATAATGAAGGCTTTTCTTGGATGTACGTAGAAATGAATGGCCATGCAAGACAAATGAATGCCTTGTGTATAGCGGTAATTGCATTGCATGCGATGTGGCAAAGTCAGGCTATACGCACATCGTATCGTATTTTTATGAAACTTCCTATTTATTAAATAATTTTTAATAGTACAGTATAAAATGTGGCCAACTATGTAAGAAGATGACTGTGTCCTTTTTATTATTATATTCTACGTTGCACAGGAAACATAAATGTTATAACTTTAAGCGACAAATATTTGTGTCGTGACCTGCGAGTGTGCACAAGACAGACACAAAACGTTTCTGCGCGCGAAAAAGTTAATATCTTGCGTAAAACCGCGATGTAAACAAGGAATGGAGATGAGTGATTTTCGAGTTAGTTCGGTTTGTTTGTTTGTTTCTCTGCCCCTTTGTTTGCGTATTTACAGGGACGAGTGGAAAAACATGGCTGCTGCCTTGGGCACAGCGGGGATGGGAGTGAAGCGACTAATAATGTTTTTAATTTCGGTAAATTCTTTACTCTGTGGAATGTTTTTTGTGATGCATCAATCCACAGACGTGAAACTGATGTTAAAATCATTTCCCTGGACATTTATCAGTACAATATTGCAAAAGCGATTAATTTCAGTGATGTAATTGATGAATATAAAAGCTTTGAGTGAGAGATAAAAATTGTGTTTCGCTGTGGGGCTCAACATTGAAATTTTGACTTGGGTACAGCAATCCTATTCAAGCCTCTTTCGCTTAATTCACAGATTAATTAACAATATCGTCTACACTGCGAGGTAACTCAGACTGCTAATGACTAAGTAAAAGTACAAATGCAATCAATGGCTCAGATTACATATGCTTCAGTATTTGAGAATAATTAGCTGGAGAGGATGTGTAAAGAAGAGGTCATGGCCTAATGTAAGGTACTGTACCTTAGTTTGTTGCGAAAAACCAGGATAGTGTGAGTTTCTTTTAAGAGGGGGTGAAAACATGCCCCTGTAGCACGTCTGTTGGTGAAGACAAAAGAAGCTATATTAACGGAAGGCCTCTTTTGTATAGCATTTCGCTTAAGAACTAAGCCCTATTGTTAAATCTTAAGGTAGGGCAATGTCTAATGGCACTACCTGTAATAACGAGGTTGACCGATGGCCTTTGAGACCCCTTTGTTACAAAATTTAGGCTTGGGTCCCAAAATTAGGGGATCCAATCAAAAGCAAGGATGTGCTGCAGGTACCCCTGGTTTTGGAGAGCCGAGCGTTTTTAGTCGTGTGTGCAGATTCTTCTTGGCTCTTCCCTTTTGGACATCAAGTAAGTCGGTGGCAAACTGCTCGGCCACAATTCGGCCTTTATATTGGAAATTGTACCAAGTTCGATAACTACCAAAATTTATAACAAATTTGATAAAATATATTGGAACTGCATACATCGGCAGAGGCGAGGTGAAGAAGTGTACTTGTGTGATTTAGTAAGTAATATAGACAGTGTGAACGCTGGAGCTCCCCTGAGCAACCATCTCTCGTGGACACAAGAGGTCCACTGGCGCCCAACAAATAACCAAGAACAGATTAAAAGGGAGATCGGTTACAGTATTAATTTTGTCATATTAAGAGTACATTCTTCTATCCATCTACTGACTGTAGTCATGAAATCTGGTACAATGTAGTTGCAGGCTTTCTGTATCCATTGTAAGTCTCTGGGTTGTAACGCCGCGGTTTTTTAAGACCCAGGAGACGAAGGTGGACATCTTCACCGCTATGAGAACTTCAAATCTCACACAGACTGTAGTAGTTTGTACCGCGGGTATTTTTTGAGAAAATTGCTAAGTTAAAATGAACTTTACACAAATTTAATAGTTATATTTGACTGATACGAACCGAAATTAAATTCATCTGATAATAATTTTGGCATGTACGAATACTGCAAAAACCAGATTCTGTCAGAATCCTTAATAATGAAAATGGAAAATAATAGGCAGACAACTCCGACCTCCTCATTGCGCGCTCTTCTTATGCACTGCATGCAAGGAATGCACATGTCTTCGTCGATTTTCTTAACTGTATTCCTCTTCTTCAAAAGTTTGTGAGTATATTTATTGGCGTTATATTTTCTCACGTGAAGGTTATTGTTTGCTGGGGTATTTCAGACGTACCTGCTGCTTTCATCATCAGGGCGACTCACAGCTCCTATGTTGGAGGCAGCAAGTAGCTCTGAAACGTCGGCAAACTTCTACCAAACAACATGGCGCAACACCCCAGAAGACATGCTCGCCCCCGTGAGAATCTGAAATCTCACGTTTTCTCACGTGTTTGTATCATTCAGGGGCTGAATGTGACTGAAGGGCTACGTTTTCAAATTAGACATTACACTCTTATTGTAGACAGCTATTTATTATACTTGACGCAACGAGGCACTCCTTTAGTACTTCGAGGAAGTGTAAATATCCTGACGGAAACGTTTCCATTGCATTGGGCGGAGTTACAAAGGATTTAAGCCATTTAAAGGTGGCTTGCGTTTGTTTCAGACCTGTAGCAGCAATGCTGGACTCATCAGGGGGAGATCCCCGAGTCCCTCGTCGATTCAGTCTCAGGAACAAGAAGTGGAAGTATCGAGGCGAAGGGAATGCTAACCTGGTGCTTGCTTTAACTCAGGTCGGTGTTTTTAGTCTTCATTATAATCGTTCTGTCCCGGAAATACGCACAGTTTGCATGAATCTCTACAGCAGTGCGGAATTCTAGTCTAGAAGTCGTACAGATGTACAGCACAGTCGAGTCCAGACTATCTAACCTGAACGCGACCGAAGGACGGTCCGATAATCGGGAATACTAATGAAAAAGGCGAGGGTAAATGTCAAGTCAGTTTTTGATATTATTAAATTATGAAGAAAATACAACGCGGTATCAAATAAAAAACTCACAAACAGAAATGTTATTCAGCGTAATGTAAATCTGTGAATTAAATAATTTATTTACACTGGACTTGAAGGGTTAATATTGAGAACCTCTGCAGTAATGTCTATATAGATTGTGATTTTTCATGTTAGTTTTCAGGAATGGTGGTTACGTGGTGTTTGTTGATGACTCACCAGTTTCTTCCTTTCGTAATCAGGAGCGCAAAATTGTGCGTTTGCGTAAATGCGACGGCGCCGGCGGAAACGAGGGTGAGGATGTATTGGCAGAGAGAGAGCGAGAGCACGTGTGGCGCGAGGCAGTGTTCTGCAGGGGCGTCATGGTGCCACTGCTGGGGGAGTGCTATATCCAACCCCCCACTGCTGCGCGAATGGACCGAGGAGAAGTGAGGCGTCTGGATCAAATGTTACGGACACAGCGTCCAGGTATCCCGTACAATAGTAACGCATTGTCATGTCAGTACTGCGGATTAGAGTTAAATCAGAAACGCCCTGCTTCTAACGTAAAATAATAAAACACTAGTTCAGTAGTCGGGACGAAATTGTGCGTTCCACTTCCGTTAGAAGTAAAGGGGCAAGGGTGGAAAGAATAGCTGATAAGGACGCATGTAAGTGTCCGCACTATAAACATAACTTCCCAGTGTCAGTACTTTGTAGCTCCCTGCCTGAGCTCCTGTACCCTTAATGCATTTGGTTTACATATAAAATAAAAATATCTACTATATTAAAAAAACCATGTTTAATCCTTAGAAATGCTAATGGACGCGTTTGTGTCGTAGCCTATCGACATCACAAGAGTCTGCAGTTTGGCTACGTGACTGTGTATCCAGACTACGCGCTTCTTCCAGTGCATTTGAGCGTACCGCCAAATTTACCTCCCAAGTCTGAATTTCTGCCTACTTTCTGTGTGGAAGTAAAACCCAAACAGGGTTGGGTACCTGCCCCTGATCGACGCCTGTCCAAGTGTACATTCTGCCTTAACCAGTATCTCAAGGTAGGAAGAAATTTATTTCGCTAGTTTTAAACGTCAAAGAATCACAACAAATTTCCAGAACCTTTCTTTATGATGTGTCTTGTTCTGAGTGAAGACGTGCCAGACTCTAAAATTGACTTACTAAGACACTTGCTTACGATAATAATCGTATTAAAGGTACTGATATGTGCTTCTTTTTTTCAGTTGAAGAATGGCAGCATTCGTTGCCAAAGTCTTTACTGTCCGCTGGACCTCTTCTCAGGGTGCGTATTCTCCTTTCTGGCAGAATGTACTTGGGGGATTTTGGTGGAATTTGATTACACCGTAATGTGCTGCCTTAAAGGATAGGGTTCTGGTGACTGACATTGCGTGTTTTGACTCTCGGGAAATTTGTAAGAAAAATGATGATGGGAGTCAGATGAGACTGGAATTGTAGCTTTAGATGGGTCTTTCAGTTGCCAGCCTATGGCAATGACAGTGATGATAATGACATGCTTATGGAACATTGATGGATTGATGATTGGCAGGAGAAAAGCAAAGTACTCATTCTCGCTTTGTCCGCCATACCTCTCACGTGGACTACCCTGTGGCTGAATCCTGTTCTCCATGGTGAGAAACTGGGGACTGAATTCTGAAACAAGTCTGAAAATTTCCCACTGCACTCTCTTTACTTGTGCTGGTCAAAATTTTGTAAACTGTTCACTTATATATACTGGCGTGGATGCAGTTCTAGATTTCGTCTACACTGGAGTAACTTCCAACAAATTGGATTGTTTTGTTTGTTTCTTGTAGAAATCGCGCGAGGATGATGAAAGCCCTGCAGGCCTTGGTTGCAGCTCCACAGAATAATCTTAAAATTTTCAAGGTGTGTATTTTTACATTGTAATTTATGAAGTATCTTAGCTTCATCACGTCAAGTAATTTACAGTTTATTTCCATCCAAGGCTGGTCGTGAAGGTTTTTTAAGAGTTTTGTTTACTTGTTACGATTGAAGATTTAAGTATGCAACAAACATCTTACTAATTTATACTCGTGTATGGGAACACTTTGCTATGAAGGCATATGCGGAACATGAAGATGTATAGCTCCACATATTCTGGACATTGGCCGTGGGTGGTGGTTTCTAGTGCTCATTGCACAGGAGGTTGAGTTAATCTCAGGGTTGGTGTGGATTTTGTGGCAAAGAAAATACAAAAATCTTGCACCAACTAGGAGTGAACCCTGGTTTATGAGATTTGAGGTTCTTATGCCAGTGAAGTTGTTTTATATTGGTCTTCAGGTTAGTAATGCTGTGTGGACTTGTAGGTAGACACCAACATCTTTGAGGAACATACTGCCTCCATCTTCAGGGCTGAGTCCTGGCATTACTACCTTGAAGACCAGCTTCCACTTACTGGTTGTCCAGCCTGTAGTTGGAAAATGAAGCTACTGAGATTTCTGAACTCTGTTCTCTCAGAAAAGTGAGAGGGCTTTTGAAATAACTTTTCATACTACTGCAGTACTCCATCGGTTCTTGCGAGTACTGAAATATACACATTATGGCACGCATCGCTTTCTTGCTGTTACGTGAAATTTTGTTACAGTGTAAATTTGTCTTTGCCTCAAACATTTTAATCCATTCATCGCTAGCTTAAGAAATGAAATATTTTATGCTCGACAAAAATGGTGATAGACAAGACGGCAATTTTGTTCTCTGCATGCACGTTAAGAATCCTTGTTTGTTATGGTGGTTTTGGTTTGGTAATTTAGAAGTATGTAATTTTATCGTGATCTCGTAATACAGTCTTGCAAAATGGGACATGTCAACTTTGTTGTAATTGAGTCACAATACATGAAGTTATACAAAGAAAGAAAGAAAAAGCAGTGAAACGTTCTAGCTACTGGTTAATAGTGACCAAGTATCATGTGCCTCCATGAGTCAAAATTGTGACTGTAAAACCAGGGCAATTTATGGTCTTTTGTGTGTTACAGTTTTCAGTGTTAAGCAATCAGTGACTGAACCCACATCTCTTATCTGTGTCTGTGTTGTCTTCTGATTTGGAAAAACTGTGGTAACAAGAAGTTTGGAAAACTTGTCATCATTTATCACCATCAAGTGAAAAAGTAAATATAGATGTGGTTACCATGTTGTTACTTTAATTGTATACAAAATTTCCTTGACAAGATATAATTTTATAAATAAACCACCCAGAAAAATTTGAAAATTTTGAAAAACACTGGGAGAGGTGTTAGAAATATATTTATGCTCTTTCTCAGAGTAAGAGATGGTGTTTTGCAGCCATAAATGAAAACTGACAGAGGAAATTATATTTTTGTTTTTGAATGAAACATGGTGATAATGGTTTTGAATATTTCTATAATAATAATAATAATAAAAATTTGTAGAATTCATTTTTTGTGTCAGGGACATTTTTACACATATCAAAACACTTCATTATAAATGCTAGAGAACTGTGTGTGTTGTGGACATTGGTTATCTGACATTACGCTTAGCTTTGCTTAAAAAAATGATCAGTAAACTATGAAGATTGCATCATGTTGAGTACTTGTAGTTTGGGGGGGGGGGGGGGGGGTTTGGGGGTTTTTTGAGGTTATTTGTTTCAGTACTTTGTCTGTGAGAGACAGGTAAAAATATAAAGTTGTTCCTATGCATCATGGACAGTTGAATAAAGATAAACAAACACATTCTTAGCCTTGAAATGAAATGGAGGTGAGTGTTGTGTGTCGTACTCCAGCTGTTTTACTCCCACCCCACTCAAGACAGTACAGTGCTTCATGACAGTCTTTTGTTTTCAGGATGGTGTTCTTGTTTATGGAGAGGAGGCCTGCAGTGACCTGCCCACCATATTGCAGAACTGGTTTTGTGATCCATTACAACCTCTTGAAGCAACTAATGTACCCAGGTATGCACGATTAATCTCACTCTGTACTGACCCCAAACCTATTTTAAAACAAGGCGTATAAAAGGAAGTCAAATTAACAGGTATAGTCAGCACAGTAGTTTTTGGCTGGTGGAATTTTCAAGGGGAAGGCTAGGAGTGAGTCACTTGTGGGACAGTATAATGCTGACTGCACTGAGGAGCTTATCGGACTGAACACCCAAACAAAAGAAATACACTGACCGTGCCACCTCAGGTACACAGAGTAGGCCCGTCCGCCAGCTTCTCCACCGGCCAAAAACTACTGCAC